ACCAGCCTCATCATCAGATGCTTGTATTACACATTCCTCTGTCCACACAAGCAGGTGAGATGGTAATCTGAGAGTTGATTTCCAACACGTGCGGAGGAACTTTCAAAAGTCCCCCCAACCCCAGTATTCTCTTGCCCTGTATAATTTTAGGGGTCCAGGCATTCAGGCTTGGATGGTCTTCCTTATGTCTTTTAGGGCCTTGGAAAATCCTGGAATTTAGACAGGGCAGTAAGTGAGTGGCTGTAGCCCTTGAATCCCATTTGGGACCTTAACTTGTTCTACCTTGCATTATAATTATTTAGTTTTTATCTGTCTAGGTTTCTGTACTTTCAGGGGTAAAGCTGATTCATTCTCCTCTGTATCCCAGAGTCCACCTTCAAGGTGGTAGGTTGCTTGATAAGTGCTTAGTAAATGTCATATTTGATTAGCTTTTTGTAGCCTTGTCTTTAGTCTAGAAATTCTAGATCCCAAACAGAAGGTAAGATATGGTATATTCTGGACTTTTAGTTTTCTGTAGTATATCTCCTTTTCAAATATGGACCTAGGGTGCCAGACCAAAAAAATATTGTGATCAAAGTATACAGCATTTCCTTTCATGGTAGAAAAATGTGCCTGATAAATGTTTTCTCTGCATTATTTGCCTCCAGATATACTTTAATCACAGTTATTTGGTTATTTCACACTTTATACTCGACTTGGGCTCAGATTAAGTCTTGTGTTAGTTATAACCTTGACTATCAATTAGGTTCATGAGAACAGGGACAGTATATATTTGTTTTTAATCTGTTTCCCAGCACTTAACACAGTGCTAAGTTTATAGTGGATCTCCAAGAAATACTTGTTGAATGAGTGTCTTTTGGTCATGGTAGACTTTTAGTGCAGAAAAACTTTTGGATCTGAATTGTTAGACTTAATTTTTTTGTAATAACACAGAGAATGTTGAATAGAAAAAGTAAGTTTAGAAGAGAGAGAGATATTATATGTTGCATTACCACAACTACCCCTACTCATCACACACATCATATATATATATATATAGAGAGAAGAGAGAGAGGAGTTTAGACTTATTTATTTTATTTTACTTTTGAGAACGGGAACGAGTCTCACTTCTGTGCCCCAGGCCAGGAGTGCACGTGGCGGGATCTCGGCTCACTGCAAAAGCTCGCTTCCCGGTTCTGTACATTTCTTCTGCCTCAGCCCTTCCCGGAGTAGCTGGGATCTACGGCGGCCCTCACACGCCGGGCTAATTTTTTTTCTATTGTATTTTTAGTAGAGATGAGGGTTTCACTGGTGTTAAGCTTAGGATGGGTCCTCTATGCTCCTGGAACTTGTGATCCGCCCGCCTTGGCCTTCCCCAAAGTGTTGGGATTACAGAGCCTGTCTTTTTTGTTTTTCTGACTATATTTATCCTTTTTGTAATTAACACAAGAGAACTGTTTGAATAGAAAAGAGTTAATTTTAGGAAGATATTCCTACATTCTCTATATATTTTACCCTCGTGAGGGTTTCCAAAATAGTTAGGAGTGGAAATAGAGATTACCAAAATCGGATGGATTGTTGATTTGCACCTTGAAAATAAATTTCATTGCCTTTGATTGTCACCTTTTAGCTACAAGTGGGTTCCTGTCATAACTGTAATATCCCTCCCAAGGCCTGCTGTATGGAACAAAACTTGAGGCTTACATGTATCTCGTTTAACATACGGGGCCTCAGTTCTTGGCCACGGGTGCATGTTTATGCTCCTTTGAAAACCGTCTCGTTTTGGAGCAGGTGAACCAGGGATAGTGAACTCATTGAAGGGAATTGTAGCAGAACGTCTCTAGAACTTTTCCTAAAAGAGATGTCCCCGTTGACTTCTATCGGAGCGTTTCAGCTGCACCCCATTAAAGGAAAGGATCAGACTGTGCCCTTGGGACCACAGCCTTCTCCCTAACTGTCTTTCGATTAATGAGCGCCAGCATGCCATTGCTTCAGGCCCAACACCTGTGGTGCAGAAACAGGGCTTTCTTGGACTCTGATGCCTTAGCATAAACCGTGTATGCAGGGTTTATAGGATTCCAATGGATATAATTCTGTGTGTCATCTATCAGGCACGTGGCATTTTTTTTTTTTTTTTTTTTAACGAAGATAAGAGTCTTTCGCTTCTGTCACCCACGCTGGGAGTGGCAGTGGCGCTATCTTGACCACCTTACAACTTCTGTCTCCTAGGCTTTCAGCAATTTCTCCCTGCTCAGACATTTCCCCGAGTACTGGGGATTACAGGCCCGGCCTGCCACCATTGCCCAGGTTAATTTTTGTAGTTTAGTAGAGATGGGTTTCCCCTGGTTGGCCAGGGCTAGTCTTGAACTCCTGACCTCAGGTTTCCGCGCCCCACCTCAGCCTCCAAGAGTTGCTGGGATTACAGACATGAGGCCCTGCAAACCTGGGGCGGGACATGCGATGGGTTTTCTCTCAGATGTGGACTTCACTTCACGGTTCATCCCCTAGACCTTTGCTTTTTTGTTTTGGTTTTGTTTTGTTTTTCAAACTGGTCTTGCTCTGTTGGCCCGTGGCTAAGAGGATGGAGGCCACTAATCGTGGCTTACTGCAGCCTCGGACTCTTCCCCAGGGTCAAGCAATCTCCCACCTCAGCTCTGGGAGTCACCAGGGGGCGTTGTCACCACACCTGCTTATTTTTTTTATTTTACTTTTTTTTAGAGGATTGGCAAATTTGCTCCCTATGTTGGCCCGGGGCTGGGGTCTCAAACTCCTGGTCCTTAAGTGATATTCCTGCCTTGGCCTGCCAAGAGTGTTGGGGTTACAGTATTGAGCCACGCACGCCTGGGGCTGCTTTGCTCTTTTTTACAGGTGGTTTTGGTTCGACACTTCTCTGAAGATAAGCACCTAGGCACCCTCTCACCACCCACTGAAAAAGGATGGACATTTTATAACCTTGCATTTCCTAGGTTTCTGTCTCTAGCCAGTTCCAAGGGGACCATCGGGACGCGGTCTTATGTGCTGTTTACAAACGCCTTCACCTCCAGTTCTGAGTCACACACCTATTCCTTCTGCTTTGCTTCTTTAGCCTCCTCTTTTATTTCCCAAGTACCTCCCTCTTTGCCTACTGAATGCTTGTGCTCCGCGCACACAGGCACACATACTCATTGCCTGCGCACAGCCACACGTGGCTTTCATGTCCTCTGGCTTTCCCGTATCCTACTGTAAACCTCCTAAGAGTTTTCATATCTCGAAGCCAATTTTACACCTTTCACTTTTCGATAGAGAAACATTCCAAGGGTTTTAATAATCTGGCGAATGTTTTAAAAAAAGGACACATTTTTAAAAATCTAGATTGCAGAAGTAATACTGTAGCATTGTTAAATTCAGACATTATAGAAAGTGAACGTTCCCTATCATTTGTTTCCCATAACCACCTTGAATAGTTTAGTGGATATATTTTATTCTAAGCATATACCGTTTATCTTCTTGAAAACAGGATCATTGCATACATATACTTTTTTGTAATTTCTCTTATTAGAAAATAAGATTAATCCTATATCAAACACTATTCCGTGTCAGTCCATATAGATCTCTCCCTCATTCTGTTTTTACAGCTGTATGGGAGTCTACTGTGAAAATGCTCCTTTGATTAGTTTATAACTGAGTGTAAAATTCGGCATTTCACTCTTGATTATAGTATTTTTCTGTATATTCACCCCCAAATCTTTGAGAATGAGGAGTACCCTAATTTTTAAGCAAAATTTTGGGGGGCTTTTGGGTGAAAACTAATTTAAATGCTTATTTTCTCAGTTGCCTACCTCCATTTAAAAATCAGTTTTAAGGGTTATAAGAAAGTCTTATGATGTTAAGGCCTTTTTTTCTGTATAAAAATAACATACAATTTATTTTTTCCATTTAGTCAAAACACCAAATTACACTAGCCGAGAAATGATCAGTCTCATGTAAAAGAATAAATACACGTTCTCCTTGAATCAAGACTACTCTGAGATTCAGAAATGCCAATAGCGGAGGGTGGGGTGTGACCCCTTAAGTAAGCGTGACTAGTTAAAAGTGTATGGATATTCTTTGTGGAAAGTGGGCTGCCAGATATAATTTCAGGCTGTTTCACATTACTTCACACGGTGCTTTCAAACTGTTTATTTTCTCTCTTGGCACTAGTGAGTACAACTCATAACTGGCCAGATAATATCTATGTCTGGAACCAGGGCAGTGAGTGGGTTTTACCATGATTTGATCAAAAGTAAACAAGAAAACAAAAGCAGAGGGGAAAAAAAAAAAGTAAGAGAAGGAATCACATTTTTCTCATTGTGGGACTAAAATGCGGCATGTTGAGTTTTCACTTTCTGATTAGAACTGACAGTTGAACAGATCTGATTTATTTTTGGGGGGTCAGGAAGAAACTCAAATTTTAGTTCGACTGTTCTTTTCTTTAGGGCTGCTTCTTCCCCTACTTTTTTTTTTTTTTTTTTAAGCATTACTATATTAATCAGATAGCAGCCACCGTTTGACACGTCCTTCTGTGGTGTTTGCAGATTAAGTCTGAACCATGCCAGAAATCTCTGCATTTTTTGGTGTAGCAGAAATGAACCTGGTTCATTCCATCTCAACAGCTTTAGCCGAATGGCTCAGAAGGGATCTACCCGATTTCATAAAGAAGGGTTAATGTGCAGTCTGGTTTAATACAGGTGCCCTTAAAATGCATTTTTTTTTTGTTTTGTTTTCTCACCTCCAAGTTTAGTATGTCCATGGACGTTGGCCTTAGTTTCCCCAAGACGAGTCCATGAATGACCTTGTTCAAGTATCCCTTGCTGATTTGCGTTCCCAAGTAATAAGCCTGGGAATGTTTTCAGTGCAGCAGCTGGGAGAAGAAGGGGGATTCAGCAGTTGCTGTTCAATGCATTTACTCTCTACCTGCTGGCTTCAAACAGTATTAACTTTATGTGCTCATTGTGCATTGTGTTTAATTAAAAGCAGTTCTCTTCGCAGAGGCACTTGTAGGATTTTTTTTTTTTTTTTTTGCCCTGAAATGAATAAAACAAATAGGCATCTGGTATTTGTTTTGTATAACACAATCCCCATAAAATGAAGAGTAATAAAACATAATTATCTGTAAAGGCTTGTTTTATAAGCCTGAGAATGGGCTTGTTTCTACCAGGTTTTTATATTCTACTCACAGGAGAAAGAATCTCTTTGTACATTAATATGTAAAAACAATAAGAACAAATGCTTCCCAATTACATGCATGAATCAAACTTATCTTTTATTAAACAATTTTTTTTCTGTTGTAGTCTACATGATAAAAGTTTGTCATTAAATTCTTTCTGTGTAAACACATTAGATTGAAGGAAAATGTTTTCCTTCAATATTCTGTTCAACTGGCATAACTTTATGATGTTTTTCTCCCCAGCATAAAGAAACAACTTTATGGTTGGTTATTGACTTTTTTAGGTCAGAGAGCACTCTGGATTCTAAAACCTCCTTTCAGAAAAGTACACATCAAAGTTCTATGTAGGTTTTTGTAGGGTTTGTAGACCTCTGATCCTTGGTTCAAGATCCCTGACAATGTCTAATAACTATTCTGAAAACTGTACCTCCAATCTGAAGCTAAGGTTTTAGTTTTAGTATGTGAATATCTGATGAAACGATTCAATGGTTCTGTAGCATTGGGTTTAATTTCAGGGTTGGGCTCCTTTCTAGGAATGGAGGAATATTCTTATTTCAGGAAAAAAAGTTCAGAGTGTGGGAAGTATGAAAATTATTAATTCAAAGGTGTATTTGCTGTCAGATTGGGTGGCAGTGCCTACATCCCTAGGGGCTCCTGTTCCCAAGACTGTTTTCATTGTTTCTATCCAGCGCTGGGCACGAGCCTTGAAGTGGCGAATTCATCCTCTGAAATTGTATGTCCATTGCTGCAAGGATAAAAGAAGCAGTAACAGAATCATGCAGCGCAGTATTTCATGGTGACAGTTTTATGTGGTTGTGTGATGTTGCAGAGTCTTGTAGGTGATATCTACCCTTTTCTTTTGAATCGAAACACAGGATTTTACTGGAGGAGGGAAGTTTCAAAAACAACCTAGTCTAACACAAAATTAAGCTCCTAAATAGTTATCCCATTCTGTCTACTACAAAACTAATTGCTTACAGGAGGTAGAAGTACACATATCTAATATTTATATCTTGTGTGAGTAGTGGTTTCTAATTTTAGATTTCTAACCCCTTTTTACATTATCTTTTTGCATTGAAATTATACTGAAACATTCATATTATTATGAATGCAAGCTGAATTAAATAGACCAAGATTCTCAGTTTCTCCCTTCATGTTGTCATCTACTAGAGAATGAACAGCTTAAAATAAGTGCATCCGTTCCCCATCCAAAGGGAAGCTGAATATTCCAATTCGAGATCAGCAGTCACTTTGCGTGCTTACTGGAAATACCATTTTTGAACATACTTGGCAACTTAACGTGCCCAATTAAAAGCTCTTTTGAACAAGGAAGTCTGTGGATGTGCAATTAGTCCTTAGGATTCAGAGCATTTCCTTTATGTGTGGAAGGCCATAATATGAAATCGCAGGTCACAATAGGTTTACGCCAGGTGCTTAGAATAGAAGGCATTTTCAGGATGGATTATTTCTGTACTCTTGCTCCTAAAATGGTTTACCTAAAGAGGCTCCCAAGTCCATAAAAATACTGGTGGTGTCAAGAAATTTTGGAGGTGGCCTTTCACAAATTTTAGGCAGCTGATAAATATAACTAGCCATGTAAGTGATAGGCAATACACAAGACTTGCTTGTATTGCTAGACTTTCTATTTTATCTGATTGACAGTCTTCCTCTTCCCGCCTTTTTATTTATTTATTTATTTATTTATTTACTTTTTTTGAGACAGAGTCTCGCTCTGTCGCCCAGGCTGGAGTGCAATGGCGCGATCTCGGCTCACTGCAAGCTCCGCCTCCCGGGTTCACGCCATTCTCCTGCCTCAGCCTCCCGAGTAGCTGGGACTACAGGCGCCCGCCGCCTCGCCCGGCTAATTTTTTGCATTTTTAGTAGAGACGGGGTTTCACCGTGTTAGCCAGGATGGTCTCGATCTCCTGACCTCGTGATCCGCCCGCCTCGGCCTCCCAAAGTGCTGGGATTACAGGCGTGAGCCACCGCGCCCGGCCCATTTATTTATTTTTAAAAGATGAGGATTGGGTACCAGAAAATTAGCCAATATTGTGTGCTTTTCCTTACTAAAAAATGAAGCCTCGCTGAGTAGAGCCAGATGAGCTGTGTATCTGAGATTATTTACAGTGTTTATGAGAGACCAAAAACAAGTAAGCACTTAATAGCTTTCCTTATTTACAAGTCAGATTCATCTAAGGGATATTTTTCTTTTATTTTTCTGGTGCTTGAAATGTTCCTTTAAAATAGATTATCAGAGGATACACAGTGACACAAAATTTGTTGCTTGTGAAAATGCAGAATGGATTAAGCTTTTCTTTTTCAAAGCTCTGCAATGAAACAGGTACATTTTTATTTCAGTAAAAACACTGTTGTTTTGCCTCCATCACACACGCGGTTAACATAGGATAGATATGTATATGTGAACATGTGGCTCTTGTTCCCAGTTATGTAATGGATGCATTCCATTAAAGTTTGCAGTAAAGTGAATGTTTATTAAGCGAATTGTTTTCCCCAGTGACTTCTACTGTGAAAACGGCATTGTCTTCCAGTAGGCTCTGAATATAGTGTGTTCCCATATTCTTTGGTAAGATGACCAACCAACCAACCAAAAAAACCCGGCCCCAATAACAAACAAACAAAACAACCTTTTAGGTACCATAAACCTATAGGAAACACTAACCTTGTGATGAAGCCGGCCAGATGCCACTCATTGTTGCCCCCCACCCCTAAGCTATGGTATATGGCTTTAATAACAAAATGGCAACACACAATAGTACCACAACCTGGAGGGCGTTACTCTTCTCCTCACCCTTCTTCCCATTGTTCCCATGGGAGAGAGGGCAGCCACCAAGGCTGTAGCAAACAGGTTATTTTAATAACCTCAGCATCCTTGTTTCCATACGATATACATTTGACATCCAAGTTGAATTTACTCATCTCTCTCTAAACATTTTTTCCTAACCTTTTGTCTATTTGTCACACCATCTTTGGATGAAGAATGCTACCTGATAATGTGTGATGCTTAACAATCGTACCTTGTTAGCCATAAAGGCTCATCCCATTTCCTTCCATAAACATCTATTGTAATACAATATGGATTGTGTAAGGCACTGGGCTTTAGGCCCCCAGCCCAAATATCTGTCATCTATTAAGTACTTACTGTGGACAAGGAAGGCACTATACTTAACACACACGATTTCATCTAATTTTTGCAAAAGCTCGTTGAGTATATTAGTTCAGTCTCCATTTTATTAATACATATGAGGAAAGTGAGACCGAGACTTACTCAATGACTTGCCCAGAGTCGTGCAAAGCATAAGGGGCGGAGTTAGGATTTGAACCCAGCGTGAACTGGGCTCTGGAATCAAATGCTTCCCTAATGCCATGCTCTAGGTCTCAGCCTGGACTGTGCTCCAAGTCACTTAAGGACTTTTCAAAACACTGACATACGTGGACCCAGCATCTCGAGGAGCTGAGCTCTGGGCCTTTGGGTTTCGAAGGTTTTACAAGTGACCCTGGTGCTCTGCCAGGCAGGCTTAATAACGATTGAATTATATGCCATGCCCAGCTTAGTTTCTTGCTTGGTGGTTGAATTGCTGCATGAAAATCTGATCCCCGCAGTCTTTGAGCCTGCAGCGCAGTGAGAGAGATGGATGCACACATAACCAAGCATGAGCAAGATGCATTATGACAAGGACTGTGGTAGTACAGACTTTGTGCACTGTGATGATTCTCATGACAGGACTTGCATTGGATCCTAGGAGGTGGCATCTGGGACACAGTCACTTCAGCAAGTCCTATTTATTCTACCTTGGAAGAGTTCCTTGCATCTTTACTCTGTATACTCTGTGATGACCAGTCTTGGTCTAGGTTCTTATAAAAGTCCCAGTTGAGGATCTTGAGTCTCTCCCATTCAGTTTGACTGAGAGAGCTTGGTGATTAGATCAGTGGTTTGTATATTTCCTCATTTGTCTTCCAAACTAATCGATATGTTCCTGAGGATCCACTCCAGTAGGATTACTAGGTCAAAGATAAATCATTACCAGACTGGTTGATAGTGTCACCCAGGCTGGAGTGCAGTAGCATGATCTTGGCTTACTACAGCCTCTGCCTTCTGAGTTCAAGCAATTCTCCTGCCTCAACCTTCGGAGTAGCTGGGATTACAGGTGTTCACCACCACGCCTGGCTAATTTTTTATATTTTTGGTAGAGACGGGGTTTCACCATGTTGGCCAGGCTGGTCTCGAACTCCTGAACCCAAGTGATTACTCGCCTCTGCCTCCCAAAGTGCTAGGATTACAGGCGTGAGCCACTGTGCCCCGCCTCCCTCTTTTCTTATTGAGACCTATTGACCAATAGCTTGGTCAATAGTGCTTGATTCTTGAGTTTAGAAAACTTCTATTGAGCTTCTTACTGTGTCCTGGGGACTGTGCTGGGCAGTAAGAACACCAGAAAGGGTGTGGCATCTTAGGAGCCAATTAAACTAGATTAGGAAGAGAAGTGTTGAGGTGTCACCTAGGGCATAGGCAGAGAACCTGTCTGCCTAATGATACTGGGTTTAATTCTTGAATTCTTTATATTCAGAATACGGATTAGGGCCAGGCTGGCCCTGACAGCCTGAATCATTAAACACTTATGGTGACTGGTGGGTGATTAACCACATAAGAAGAAGATATATTCATAACAGATATAATAGGAGCAATGGGGACTTGATGGAGAGTGTTAAATAGTACAGTGTTTTCCATAAATGTTCTTTAATTGTGGAGATTATTGTTCTGTAGATTATTCACTCAGGCATTGAATATGCATTTATTAAGTGCTTTTTGTGTCCTAGGCTTATTCTCAAGTTTAAATTTCAAATTTGGTTCTTAAATTCCTCAAGATCAGAGTTTAGCTAAAAGTATTATATCCTGAGATGGAATTTTATCAAATTATATGCTAAAAATGAGGAGAAATGTCTGTTTCTCCATCTTCCAAGCCCCACCAGTTTAACTGTCTGTCAATTGGTCTTCTCAATCAACTATAAGAGCTGTAAGAATGTCTTGGGCCATGAGTACATACTTCAGAGTGTATCGTGGTGGCAGAGATTGAGCAACTGATTGGAAGAGATGTGTAATCACTAGTGCTGGCCTTACCGTTCTGAAATTTCACGTTTCTTTCTCTCGCCCCAAACTTAATTCTTTCTTCACTGTTTTCAATTTCAGAAGAAGTTTAGAATGAGTGAGGGAAATTAAAATGAAGTCCAGAAGACCAGCAGAGATTTCACTGGGCCTGTGGATAGGAATGACTTGTGAGAAAACCATTTGAAACTTAATTAAAAGAAAATGTGTTCAGCTCACTATATAATTATAGTTAGCTTGACCTGGTGTTTGGGGTTACATTATCTGTAAGTTTGGAACTTATTTGTTGTATAGAAATTCATACCGCACGTTTACTTAAACTTTGCCCATCTGTTTCTTGTTAAAAGAAACTGGGCATCTGCTGAAATATCATTGTTTTAGGTTACTCAATCTTATTGTCACCTTATAATGGTTTTATTTTGGGGGAGATTTATTCGTATTAGTATGATTGAGAAAGAACAGAAAGATCTTATTGGAAAATAAATTTAGAATTTTCCAAATAACAAAATCAAAAGATTTCCAGATGTAATCTTAAGATGTCTTTTCATGATGTCTAGTTTGAGAAACTTTTTTTCCTCTCACATGCGAAGAACAATGCTTTTTAGGACAATAGTGAGACTTACATGAGAATTGCTCTTTTTGCATTGTGTTATGGTGCATGATGTGAAAGTTTAGAAATAAATATATACCTGGATACAACAGGCCTCAGTTAAGACATCAGCTATTTTTAATGCATTTTGCTATTTTTGGCCTGGCATAGTATCTTAGGATGAGAAAATCCATCCCCTTCCCTTAGTCTGAGGTCACATGTTGCCATCAGTTCTCTATAACGGACTTAATGATGTTACGGTTTTAAAATAAGGGGAAATTAACATTTCTTGTCCCCATGATTGTGGCCACAAGACTTCATCATTTTTATACTGTTAATTACACTCCTCTTTCACAAGAACTCCCCAACTCTTGTTTTTCCCAGCAGTTAAATGTCGTTATTTTCATATACTTACCTTATACCTGGCTAAAACCTAGCAATTTTTTGTTTTGCTCTTGGTTTTTGTGACAATTTTAAGAGGAAGACAAGTAATGTACAGGCTGGGTTGAAAGAGGAGAAAATGGAGCAGTTGTAATTCCCCTGGGTAGGGCAAGAGACTGTTAATACATTAGTGGTAGGAGAGCTTCTGCAGAAAATACGACTGTACAATTAAATGGGGTTATTAAAAGCACACCAGCATCAATTCATTAAATGACAGTGGCAATTTCTTTGTAATCCCCTTTTCCCCTTCTCCTCCTCGGACTCAGTATATGCAGGGATGAAAGGCAGATGGGCAAAGATCAGAAAGACTACCGAGAAAGAGGTACAGTTATTTAGATATCTGCTTCCTCATCTTCTTTGAGGCAGCTTCTGTGATGAAAACACTTTATGAAAGGTAAGAAAGAACCCAAAATACCTGTTCTGTAGACATTGGGGATGAAAATGGGCATCCTAGCAGATGATCTGGTTCTGCATTCCAGAACACTGCTCGGACTTTAGAAGCAGATATCTATGCATAGTAAATCTACCTGGAGATAAAACAAAGAGAGAAATTGTTTGAAACCTTCTTATTGCAAAAGTATGCAGAATTGACATTCAGCAATGTTGTGTAAAAATACTGCAAAATGTTTCATTTTCTGGAAAACTGTGTATTTTAAAAATCAGTTGGAATCTGGTTACCTGCATGACCTAGTGAGAACTTAAAGGCTTGGGAAAATGGTTGAAGTTAGTGGTTATGAGTGTTTGATATCCTTTTGTGTGTCATTTAATTGTCTAAACCCCCATTTCCTCATTGGTAAGATGGTGATTCTGGTATCTGTCTTTTTAGTGTTGCTTTGTAAAATTAAATGACATACTGAATGAAAAGCATTCTGCTCAGTGCCTGACATAAGATAGTTCTCCCTAAATATTAACTAGTTTTATTATCCATTGAATTTTAGGACTCCACCCTCCCCCCAATCCCCCCAAAAGACTTAATGGTCTTATCTGCCTGCTGAAGAGTAGGGTTATGAGGAAGCTGAGACATGGAGAGATGATGTGTTAATTAGTGAAGGAGCCAGAACTGGAACCACATTTTATGACTTCCCACGGCATTGAAGTGCCTCTCATAGTATGAGACTTCTGTATTTAGTAAAGGAGGGCCAACACTTGCTCCACCTATTATAATAGATGAGGTATGCTTTTTGTCTATATACTTAAAAATGTAGTTTTAAGTTCATTGCTCAGGTTCTTTTGGTGGCAAAAATCCTTACACTTTAAAAGGCATTATTATTGGCTGAGTTTTAAAAGAACTACCTTCAGAGAAAAATGCATTTCATTTTGATTATGCCCAAGGCCTGCAGAATACCATTTAAACTACAAGTGATATAAAAGGTTAAGTATTTGATTAAAAAACTAATCTCCTTTAAAAACTAATGTTTCAGTCTCCACCAGAACGTCTTCAGGGAACTTCAATGTTTTGCTGATAACTGGATCCAATTTATGAGAGGTAAAAAAAAAAAAAAAAAAAAAAGCCATTATTTACTTAATTCATCTATTAGTTTCCAAACTTGATATATTGAATCTAAAGAATTGTGAAATTAATAGATAAGAGAAGAAGTTTGAGTGGTTAAAAAATGGATAACATCTCCTATTTCAAGGAAACAGTATTTGATCAGATTTCAGGGTGGTACGAAGTTCTTGTTGATGATAAAAGGCAAGTCATATTTATCAGCTGAACAACTCAGAAAACACAGATGATTTGAATTCGTGGAGGCGTCCTCCGTACCATTTTCTCCATTGCTTTGATGATTATCTGAGGTCTCTACTAAACAGATACTCATATTCGTCATATTCGTATTTCCAGTTCAAATCATAGTGTTGCTATTGCCACGACCCATTGCATCATCTGCCGCCAACCTCACCCTCACCTAATTTTTGACTCTCCTTTATCTCTTTCAAGGCTCAAACGTGCGTACTATAATCATATGTTTAGTGGTCTCTTCCCTGCTGCACTGTGAACTCTTTGGGAACAGGGACCACGTTTGCCTTTTCAACCAGTGCCTAGCAGGGTGCCTGGAGGCATTAGGGAATGCTTATTGAATAAAGGAATGAATCACACTGTATGCCAAAATCTGGCTTCCCTGAGTTTATATGCCTCTGGTAACCTTTTGTAAATGACACCTTTTCTATATGATTAGCCACTTCTATTCTTTCTTTCTATTGAAGTTATTTCTTATTTCCAAGTTGATCTTGTTGCAGCCATCCTCCTCCTGACTACATCCAATGTGGTTAATGTTTTTTCTTTTCTTTTTAATTTTGGGAGGGGTGTGAAGTACAAGATAGAACATAATGTGGGCTAAATCCGGGGCTATTCAACTTGACTAGGGTCTTTAGCCTTCCAGAATGTTGAGAAAGTAATTAGTGGGTGGGGTGGGGGTGGGGGCAGTGTTAGAAGAAATGGCTGGGATTCTTTGTATCCGAAAGAATGTTTCTCCTTGGTGATGAGGTAGGTATTGTCACCGCTCTGAATAAATCCTTAGGCAAAGTACAAAAACACCAGCAGGCTAAACAATGCCTGGCCACTCTGGGTTTAGGATTGCAATACCTTACGGGTAAGTTTAGAAATGAGTTTCCTGTTCAGGTTTTAGGCCTGTCATACTGTTGAGTGACTGTCTAACCTTTGAACTTTCTGTGTTTTTGACATCAAAAGGAACTCTGAGCTTTACCAAAAAGGTTTTATTCAAGTAATTAACACTTTTCATGCACAGAGGGAAATTAGCCTCCAACTTGCAGACATAGTGAAAAATTAGTATCTTCCTATTTGCTTGGCTGGTTTGAACTATAGTTGATTATTTTTAAAGATAAGAAGATAAAATTTCCTTAATATTTCAGTATGTTGCTTTTTGTACCCTTAAAATTATTTTTTTTTCTATGCAGAATTGACTTTGATTAAAAAATGTTTTTGATGTCTATTTTCCTGATTCATCAGTATATCTAATTGTGTTCATCTTAGTCATGAAAAATCTTGTCTATAAGGGACATATTTTTAGTAACATTTTTATAGCATATAAGAACTTTTATGGCAAAAACAGGAATCATTAAGTGTGTGTGCTTTTATCATAACTTCTCTTTTAATGGAACTTAAAATCTTGTGTTTTTGCAGCACTTTTTTTGCACATGGTAGGTTCTTAATATTTGAATGGAATTCAGCGTGACTGTTCTTTGTGTTCTCAAAAGTCTGATCTTTGTAACAATTTGTCTTTCACTTGAGACTCTTTTTTTTCTTTGCATATGTACACAGATCACTCTTCATTTTCCTTAATCTTTTTTAACTAAACACATCTATAACTCATATTTCCCTATTTATGAATAGGAGCAATTTAAAATTTCCCAACGTGGTGGTATGTGATATAACATAACTAAAGGCTACATGTTTACCCTTCTTTACCCTTCATTTGCGGAAAGATGATGTATGTATTTATGATGTAAATGTCTTTCAGAATGACCTTTCGGACTAAGCTTGTCCCCCCCCCCCAAAAAAAAAAGTCATGACCTAGGAAGCCTTATTAGTGAAATTTAAAGACGAAAAGTGGTCCGGGCGTGGTGGCTCACGCCTATAATCCCAGCACTTTGGGAGGCGAAGGCAAGTGTGTCACTTGAGGTCAGGAGTTCGAAACCAGCCTGGGCAACATGGTGAAACCCCATCTCTACTAAAAATACAAAAATTGGCTGGGCATGGTGACCTGTGCCTGTAATCCCAGCTACTTGGGAGGCAGAGGTATGAGAATCGCTTGAACCTAGGAGGTGGAGGTTGCAGTGAGTGGAGATTGTGCCACTGCACACCAACCTGGGTGACAGAGCGAGACTTCATCTCAAAAATAAAATAAAAATAAAAAAGAGAAGTCTGGTCAAATGCCCCTTGTTCTTCTTCAACAGATACATAGTGGGTTGTGTAAAAAAGGAGTTGGAAAAGGACTGAAAGAATAGAAAAAAAATTTGTTTTAAAAAATGGCCAAGACTAAATCATAGTGTCTAGGGAGGTACACCTGAATAATAAAACTATAAAGAAATACAAAATATGATTACTACTAAGAATAGTCTGTTGCCAGTAGTATATAGAATGAGCACTCAAATTATAACAGACGCATTTTGGTATTCATAAATGTTCTTTTTTTAAAAAAAAAAATCGAAATTATAATATAGGCTGTAAGTACTGATTTTAATTGTAGTGAATGTGAAAGTGTTGTTAATGAAAATATAAAGAATATTTGTTAAAGTGTGGACCTAGCCAGGAGTACTAGGTAGAAAAGGTAGCTCTTTAAAACATTTTTTATTTAATTGTGAGGTAAATTTATTGTCACTTTGTTTGATATTTATTACTACAGTCCCTAGGTTAATTCTCTTTTTATTGCTTTTCAGAATAATTAAGACCTAAATCTTCTGCTGAATTCTGTTTGGTTTTGTTATTTCTTTTGCCGTGTTCTTTCATTCCACAAATGTTATTGAGCACTTCCAGTGTACCAAGCTTTGTGCTTACTGCTTTGATGATAAATGCAATAAGGTAATGCAGCTTTTAAGGATCCTTCAGGATAGGATCTTGTAGCAGTAAGGACTTAGCATTTTTGCTATAGAAGTGTATGGAGAGCCATCTATGGTGCAATAACTGGGGAAATACAGTTTTTATTCTATTTGATTCCGTTATGCATTGAGTCCTCCTTTGGTGGGAATTTGAGCAGGGTGGTCTCAGTTGAATCCTGGCTACATACGCCTCAGCAAGGAAGAAGGCCTTGGATTTGGATCTTAGGGGTCTATGGAAAGCCTGGTGGTGGTCCTGGAAGGCTTGAGAATACCTGGAGCTGGAAGCTCCCTGCTCATTGGTGACCTTTTTCATATACAGCAGAGCTCTTGACATTCCTAGCATACTGCCTTGAAAGGACTGTGTCTTGCCTCCTAGAAATTCTGGACTTGGTAGGAATCATTTGTTTATGCTATTTTAAAAAGAAAAAAAAATCTAAAGTGTACTTTTTGGAAGAAAAATGAACTTATTTTTTGACTTTTCTGTGTGTTTTTTTCTTTAATTGAAAATTCTGTCTGGAGACCGATTTTCGACCCCCTTCCCTTCCCTCTAGTTTTAAATTGGAACATTGCTTTCCAAGCATTTCAAAAAAAACAACAAAAAAAGAAATATTTTATTATTACTCTATTTTTATTTGCTCATTAATAATTCTTGATTTTCTGTCTATATGAAATCAAAGAAAAATTACTGTATAATTTTCATCCAGTTGCACAGTCAATTCTATAACTGAAATACAAGATAAAAATTAAGTAACTGATTTACTTAAGAAAGAAAGGCATCTGGACCTCCTAAAAATTTCATCAAATATTCACTCAGCAGACCTTTCTTTATAATAGGAGCTCACTTACTCTTGTGAGCACTGACGGTGTGAGCACTTGTGGCAGGGATTGGGTTTCCTGAGGAATCCATAAGACACTTGCATTGCTTTGGGGCATGAAGGTGAATAATGCAGCCATTGGCCTTCAAGGACTTTGAGGAGGTGCTCTATGGGGAGAAGGACTGAAACAGACATATTCCTGAAAGGAATAATTACTGAGTGATAGTGGAAATATATACGAAGACTTTGGGATTAACAGTGACAGAGGGGCCCATTGAAAACTTATTAACGTTTACAGCTGTTGTTAAAATTCATCCAAACCAGCCAATTACATCTACGTTCTCTAGAATGAAAGTACAAAATGATTACAGTGGATGTTCTAAACACCACAGTTGACACAATCCCCTTTTCCTACTGGAATGGGAATCTAATGGGGAAAGTGAAATTCTTTCTCAAAGGCTTATCGGGTTGATACCTTACGTGTACATGTAAAAACAGCTGACTTTGTGTTCTGTGGCCTTGGAGATCATATAACTCTTATAAAGCAACTTGTAAATTTTCTGGGAGGTTCTTTTGGAATATTGCTTTATGTTTTGTTTCAGTAATGTATTTCCCTCTCCCCTGAATTATCACAGTGGGGATATATAAATCCACCCCCTACCCCTACCCAAAGCATATACCATGCATATGTTCATTTTCTCTTTATCATATGATATAGTTTGGATATTTGTCCCCCTTAAATCTCATGTTGAGATGTAATCCCCAGTGTTGAAGGTGGGGTCCAATGGGAGGTGTTTGGGTCATGTGGACTGATCCGTCATGGCTTGGTGCTGTCCTCATGACACAGTGGTTTCCCATGAGATCCCATTGTTTAAAACTGTGTGACACCTCTCCCTAACGCTCTCTTGCTCCTTCTCTTACCATGTGAGATGGCTATTCCCCCTTCTGCCATGACTGTAAGCTTCCTGAGGCCTCAGGAGAACCCGAGTAGATGCCACTGCCATGCTTCCTGTACAGTCTGCAGAACCGTGAGCCAATTAAACCTCTTTTCTTTATAAATTACCCAGTCTCCAGTATTTCTTTATAGCAACGCAAGAATGGCCTAACACACCATATATAAACTATAAAACAAAAACAAAAACCAAAACCCAGAACAATTACCCTCTGCAGTACAAATAACAACTCTTTCCTCCAAAGGAACTTCTTTCATTGTTTAAATAGTGAGAAACTTGTGTCGTTAGAAACACCGAGTAGGGTGCAGCGTCCCCTCATTACAAACATTTCTGTGCCTTAGAGGACACCCCTCCTGATACGTATCCTTAGGAGGAACACATAGATCAGCCTCTCTTCCTTTTGTCCAGCTGCAGTATCGGGAATGGGAACACAACACGGTCAACGTGCCTAAAACTAGAGCCCTGGGGTGAGTCTAGCCTTGATCTTCCCCGATACTGTCCTTTGTCAGACTCCAACACTGTGCGCAGCCTGGTCTCTCTGGGCCCAGGAATTTGGGCACTTGCTCAAAGATTCCTTTGCAGGTGCTCCTGGAAATCAGACCAGTGTTTAAGTAGGATTTAAAGCAGTAACATCTGTCAGATGTAACCATGGCACTATATCAGAACCAAAAAATTATAGGAGGAAAAATGCCTGTTAGGAACATGGGGTTACTGAAAACCCGCTTTTTGACTAGTGTTTTATTGTAGTGATGGGAAATGAATGAGACTGGTATCTACACCTACTGGCACGGGTCTGAATAAAACCCACAGCCCGCTCTCCTCTCCCTGAGCTTCCAGCCTTCTGTGGTCCAGATTTTCATATTCCTTCCAATTTGCCCAGAGCAAGCTGTGACCCTCATCCATCTTGTTTTCTTTTTTTTTCTTTTCGTTTTGCATTTAACAAAGTTGTAAAGGGATTTATATGCTTTCCATTAGCCTTAGCAAAGCTGCTGTCATGAATATTTAATGGCAAGAGCAGTTTGTTTTCTTTTACTCTTTCCCAGCCTTCCCTCCAGCCCCCAGCTCTCCCTTCTTTTGCCTGGAGAAATGTAAATATCTCGCCCCTCACCCCTTGGCCGGGTCCCAAAGCGCTGGGCTCGCTCAGTTCAATGTTCTGACCCGTCTGGTGGGGACTTTTTTTTTTTTTTCCCCTCTCCTCTCTCTCTCTCGTAGCCCCCCACGAGGCAGCCAGGGTGGTGGCAGCGGTGCGCAGGGCCGGACGCGCGTGGGGCTCTGCCTGACCCGGGCCCCCGCGCCCTCTGCCTGTACGGCAGCTCCGTGGCCCAGACAGACGGTCCTTTCCTTTGAACTTCGCGGGAGCACAATAGCTTCCCTGCAACTTAGCTGGAGCTCCCTCGGATGCATTCCTGGCACTTCACGGGTCGCTGGCCCCTTTCTCTTTGCAACAGGAAAAGGGGCGAATGTCTGGGACAGAAAATGACTTCTGAAGACACGAAAAGATTTACCGTGTCTGGAGCAACCTCTGAACTTTTGTGGTGGTGATCTCAGAAAAATGCATATTTTCCTATTGGTTGCTTAGATCATCTCCTATCCTTCTTCCCTCCCCCCTCCCCGTCCCCGCAGTTATTTATCTAATTTATCCATTTCTGTCATACCTCACTCTCACCCCCACCCCTACCCCACCCCCATTCCGGTTTTGCCTTTTCCTTAATTCTTTGTCCGCTCTTGTGCTGCGGGAGTGGAGGGGTCCAAAAGGTGAGGCCAGGAGAGGGCCTGAATAGTTTGTGTTAATTGAGAAGGAAGGTTCCAGGAGAACTCTGCTCCCCTCTCTAATGAAGTCAAACCTGCTGGAGTGTGCCTGCCCCAAGGGACTGATGGAAGGATGAGAGACGGAAATCCATATAAAATGCTTAACACAGTATTTGACTTTAGTAATTGCTCAGTAAGTCATAGCTTTATGTTATTATTAATATGATACACAGTCATTCTTCTGAAATGAGTGGGCATGAATGCTTCCCTCTCTGCATAAAGAATTATTTGTGCTGGATCCTTTTTAAGAGCCCCTCCCCTCCCCTCCTCTCTTCTCCCCTTCGCCTCCTCTCTTCTCTCCTCTCCTCCCCTCGTCTCCCCTCTTCTCCTCTCTTCTCCTCTTTCCTTTCTCTGTAGCCCAGGCTGGAGTGCAGTGGCATGATCTCAGTTCACTGCAACCTCTGCCTTCCAGGGTCAAGCAATTCTTGTGCCTCAGAAACTCCTGAGTAGCTGGAATTACAGGCGCGTGTCACCATGCCCAACTAATTTTTGTATTTTTTGTAGAGATG